CTCTGACTGGGACAAGCCCAGAGTGTGTGAGCATTAAGCTAGTATTCAATTTACTGAGAATATAATACAGAGGCTTTATGAATTAGCATCATAGTGTCCATAGCTATGACAGGGAACTGCAAAAATGTTAGAAGAGGAAACCAGTGAACTGCTGTTAGGAAGAATCTCGGTAAAACAGTTCACCTTAGAGAGAATACTAATGTGACTTCTGAATACCCAGTACCCTTTGACCTAGCAAGTAATCAGGTTATTTTTTTTCTCTCCTATATTTCATCAAGAGGAACTGAAACCTTGTTTTTGGAAGCGACTGAGTTGGTCAGAACCATCCAGGTAATGAGATACCAGATGTTTGTAGGTCAACGTTCATTATTTCTAAACAACCTGGGTAGACTTTAAACATTTATCAGCATCTTAATAAACATTAGTGACAAAGACTTGAATTCAAAGTTGTTCAATTTTTAAAGCATTAATGTTTATGCTTAAAACATAAGGTAAAATGAACACTAACTTTGGTGAAGTAATCAGTAGAGTTAGCAGAACAGGTTTAGATGAAGGGAGTCCAGAAGATGCTGCTATCAATTGCTTGGCAGTCATTTTGCATTTCCAGCATACCCTAGTTGAGCATGTCTACTTTGATGATAAAAATCATGTTATTAACCAATGTTACTCCAGTAAATTTTTAAAAAAACATATTTTAGTGATTTCAGAGAGAAAGGGAGAGGGAGAGAGAAATAGCAACATCAATGATAAGATAGAACCACTGATTGGCTGCTTCCCATACCCCCTAACCCCACCAGGGTTCAAGTCCACAACCAGGGCATGTGCCCTGACTGGGAATTAAACCATGACCTCCTGGTTCATAGTTCAATGCTCATCCACTGAGCCATGCTGGCCGGGTCAATAAATTTAATACAGTTTTTTAAATTAAAAGAAATAAAAATTCATTTCCCTTAAATTCAGTTGAATAGAAAGAGGCTGGTTTTTATTATTTTTAATGTACACAACAACTCAAAACTCCCTTTTTTTTGTTTTTAAAAAACGCACACACAGGATAATCGTACTGGATCAGAGTGATTTGTCAGACTGACCGGAACCCGATAATAGATGGACTCCTAGTCCGAGTTTGAGCACCTGCTTGTGAGCTACCTTCTCCAGGGTCTGCTTCAGTGACCATTAGAGTAATGGATCCCTAACTCACGCTTTGTTCAGCTGCCTCAATAGTCAGCAAGACTTGGTCCTGTCTGTTTATAGCACATGTAACCATTTGTTTTTTGTTTCTGTTTTCCAGAGATATATTTTGAGCTTTTATTTTAGCACAGCAGTTGTAATAATTTGTTTTCAGTTAGATGTCTGAAAAGTGAAAGGGAGTGTTATTGACTGTAAAAATCACTCATTGTGTTCAGAATGGCTTTGGTTTTGTTGACATAGATTTTTGAAAACTTGTACTTCTGTTATGTAATAAAATGTTTACTTTTAACAGCAGTTGGCTTTTAAGCTGTGTAAGATGTGTTTAATTATTGGGAGAGAAACCACCACAACAGACAGGAAGAAGAAAAATTATCTCTGTTTTCAGATTATATGAGCTTATATGTAGAAAACCCTAAGTATTCCACAAAAAAACCCATTCGACTAAATGAGTTCAGCAAAGTGGCAGGATACAAAGGCAATACACAAAAATCAGTTGCATTTTTATGAACAATGAACAATCTGAAAGGAAAGTACAAAAACAACATTTACAAAGCATCCAAAAATAATAAAATACTTACTAATTTTAACCAAAAAGATGAAACATTTATACTATGAAAACTACAAAACATTGCTGGAAGAAATTAAAGATAACATAAATGAAAACACATCCCATATTTATATAATGGAAGACTTAATAATTTTAAAGAAATATTGATTTTTTACAGAGAGGAAGGGAGAGGGATAGAGAGCTAGAAACATCGATGAGAGAGAAACATAGACCAGCTGCCTCCTGCACACCCCCTACTGGGGATGTGCCCATAACCAGTGTACAGGCCCTTGACCGGAATCGAACCTGGGATCTTTCAGTCCGCAGACCAACACTATCCACTGAGCCAAACCGGTTTCGGCAAGACTTAATATTTTTAAAATGTCAGAACTGCCCAAAGTGATCTACAGATTCAATATCAAAATCCCAATCCTAAAATTCCTGTGAAAGTTCAGTGGACCCTGGATAGCCAAAATAATCTTGCAAAGGAAGAACAAAAATGGAGGACTCACACTTCCTGGTATCAAAGCTATAGTAATCAAAACAATGCGATATTGGCATAAAGACAGACCTGTAGATATACACAATAGAATGGAAAATCCAGAAATAACCCTTTCACCTATGGCCAAATGATTTTTGACAAGGGTACCAAGACTTTGGGGAAAGGACCATCTTTTAAACAAATGGTGCTGGAAAACTGGGTATCTACATGCAAAATAATGAATTTGGACCTTTATCTAACACCATGTACAAAAATTAACTCAAGCCGAAACCGGTTTGGCTCAGTGGTAGAGCTTCAGTTTGCAGACTGAAAGGTGCCAGGTTCGATTCCGGTCAAGGGCATGTACCTTGGTTGCAGGCACATCCCCAGTAGCGGGTGTGCAAGAGGCAGCCAGTCGATGATTCTCTCTCATCGATGTTTCTAACTCTCTATCCCTCTCTCTTCCTCTCTGTAAAAAAATCAATTATATATATACAATATATATATATATATATATATATATATATATATATATATATATATATATATAATAAAAATTAACTCAAAATGGAACCAGGACCTGTACCTAAGACCAAAAACAATAAGACTCTTAAATAAAACAAGGTGAAAACTTTATAGCATTTGATTTGGCAATGATTTCTTGGATATGACATCACAGGCACAGGCAACAAAAGAAAAAGACATGTTGCAGTTCACGAAAATTTAAAATTTCACAATAAAAGGCACAGTAAAAAGGCAATCCATAGAATGGGAGAAAATGTTTGCAAATCATGCCAGTCAGTGTGATTCAGCAGCTGAGTGCTTGCCGACCCACAAACAAAGAGGTTGCTGGTTCGGCTCCTGGTTCGAGCACCTGCCTGGGTCACGGGCTCTGTCCCCCGAAGGGAACATGCAGGAAGCAGCCAACTGATGATGTCTCCATCTCTCCTCTCTAAATATCAATAAACACATATTTTAAAAAAATGTGCAAACCACATATCTGATGAGGGATTAATATTCATAAAACATAGAGAACTCCTAAAACTCAACAAATACATGATAGTCTCATGGTTAAAGGTTATATGTTAGTAAACCATCTTATTTAAGTAGAATCTCATAGGAAAGCTTTGTTTAAGTAAGCTAGTCTCAATTTAAAAAAAATATATATTTTATTGATTTTGTACAGAGAGGAAGGGAGAGAGATAGAGAGTCAGAAACATCGATGAGAGAGAGTCATCGATCAGCCGCCTCCTGCACACCCCCCACTGGGGATATGCCCACAACCAAGGTACATGCCCTTGACCGGAATCGAACCCGGGACCCTTCAGTCCCCAAGCCGACGCTCTATCCATTGAGCCAAACCAGTTTCGGCTCAATTTTATAAGCTAACAAAATCAATACTTCAACCTGGTTTGCCCATAGTATATTAAAAATATCTGACTTATAAATGTTCTCCCACTTTTATCCTTTTCTATTAAAACCCCCCCACAGATATAGTGACTAGACTAGAGTTTTACATTCTAAGGTTTTATATCAGTAGCTCAAAGTTTCTCAATCTATTGAGATCCCCACTATCTAAAAATGTGTGGGTTTTTGTTTCATCTTTATCTCTAATCTTGGCTGAATTTAAAGATCCAGAAATAATGAATCTGACCATGCCAGAACTGTGATGACCCTTCAGAGTCAAAAGGGAAATAGATGATGGATATGGTAGAGTCTGTGTCTGAAAGAGAGAGAGACAGACACAAAGAGAAGCATGTGAAAGGGAGAGAAAGATGACTCTCACTTATCCAAAATGGATATTCAAGTTGGAAAGTCACTCTTCAAATAAAGAAAGAACCAGAGGTCCAGCTGATAAGGACAGCTAAGAGAAAGGGATCGTGAAAAAGGACATTAGCATTGTGCAATGCCCACCTACAAGACAGTGCTTTCTACAATAGATGAAGAAACCAAGGCTCAGGCAAGACAAGTAACTTGTGCACAAGTAGCCACTTATGACTGAAACCAATGACTAACTCCAAATCCTTTCTACAAATCCTATCCTTACTCCTAGGCCAAGAATGTGAGAATTTATGACCCTGAATTTTTACCCCAGGGTCAAGCAAACCACCCATAAAACCTGGAAAAGGTTGGACTCTATATATATTTTTTAACTTATATACAGTGTAGTTCCAAACCAAACAAGACAAATTTGGACCTTGCACCTAGTTAAGACTGGGGCTAATACAACATGATTGATTTGAATAGCCTTGCCTTGGATGAGTCTCTGGGAATTAATGGAATCTCAGGAGACTAGGGAAGGGCATGGAGCTTCCCTGTACACCAGGAAATCCTGATTTTGCTAAGAATTTAGTCAAAGCTTTGCTGATGTCAATTCCAAAGACATCCAGTTTCCTTGCAGTGACTGCTTGAGATTCTCTGAAGAATTGTGGCTGTCTGCCAGGGTGTTTAGTAGGAAGCTCCTTCCTTTATGACATCACCAGGCAGGTAGTTAAGGGGAGTGTTTGAGATACTGTTAGAACAACAGCCACTTTTGTGGGAATGCAAGAACAGCTTTTAAAGCTGAGGGTAAATATTCAGGCTTCATTAGGATCCTGAATGCAAGCTAGCCGGTAAAATATGGGTTCTCCTCAGAGGGGCTCTGCTTATCAAACCATCAGGACAAGTAAAACTGGGACTAAGGTAACAGTTTTAACACAGAAAGGGACTGAGATAACTAGCACACAGCCTCATCACGGACATGGGTCCGTTGCTGCCACGACCCAGCGAAGTGCTGTAATCACCATGAGCCCTCCCATCCATCGAAGATCAGAACCTGGGCCTTCTGTCATTCCCAGAGATGAACATCACTTTAGCCTCCCAGCAACCAGCTTCTCTGCAACACCCATCCCTAAAGGAACTGAGAACCGGTCAAAATCAGATTCATATCATCATTCCTCTCTTCAGCGAAAGATCCAGCAAACTCAGCCAACATCTTCCAATGCTGCTCAGATGCATCGGACTAGTAGTCCCCAAAGAGAGGAATCCCCACGAAGAAGGGGAGAGAGCAAGGCAGGGCATGACATTAATCGTTACTCAACCCCAGATGCCAAATCTTCTCGCCGGTTGAGTTTTGTAGACCAGAAGGATAATGTACAGATCTCACCAGAAGACCCACCCTCCAAAGTGCAGTACCCACAAGGGGTCAGAGTTCCCCGTAGGCATTTGGTTTGCCCAAAGGATGAAGCAGTCCAAACTGATCCTCTACGAAAGAGTATAACTACTACTGTGGTCAGATCTCAAAGGAAAGCCTCCAGTCCAACCCGCCCTTCTGCAGACCCTCGGACAGCTCAGAGAAGGAGCCCTGACCAAGAGTATGAAACGGCTTATTACACCCGCACCTATGCAGACCCTCGGACAGCTCAGGGAAAGATCTCTGAACAAGAGTATGAAACGGGTTATTACACCCGCACCTATGCAGACCCTCGGACAGCTCAGGGAAAGATCTCTGAACAAGAGTATGAAACGGGTTATTACACCCGCACCTATGCAGACCCTCGGACAGCTCAGGGAAAGACCCCTGAACAGGAGGGTGAAGCGGGTTATTACAGCCGCACCTATGCAGATCCTCGGACAGCTCAGAGAAGGAACCCTGACCAAGAGTATGAAACGGGTTATTACACCCGCACCTATGCAGACCCTCGGACAGCTCAGGGAAAGGCCCCTGAACAGGAGGGTGAAGCGAGTTATTACACCCGCATCTATGCAGACCCTCAGACAGCTCAGGGAAAGGCCCCTGAACAGGAGGGTGAAGCGAGTTATTACAGCCGCACCTATGCAGACCCTCGGCCAGCTCAGAGAAGGAGCCCTGAACAAGAGTATGAAACGGGTTATTACACCCGCACCTATGCAGACCCTCGGACAGCTCAGAGAAGGAGCCCTGAACAAGAGTATGAAACGGGTTATTATACCCGCACCTATGCAGACCCTCGGACAGCTCAGAGAAGGACCCCTGAACAGGAGGGTGAAGCGAGTTATTACAGCCGCACCTATGCAGACCCTCGGACAGCTCAGAGAAGGAGCCCTGAACAAGAGTATGAAACGGGTTATTACACCCGCACCTATGCAGACCCTCGGACAGCTCAGAGAAGGACCCCTGAACAAGAGGGTGAAGCGGGTTATTACAACTCAGTTTATGTAGAACACAAGCCGTCGCAGAAGAACAAGAAAATAGAATCATCCCTCAGACTCTCTGTCCTTAAAGATTTGGAAGGTAGACACCGAGTTTCTATGCGTGTAGACCCTGAGTCTGTCCAGCAGCAGTCTGCCCGCACTGAAACAAAGCCCTCCCAAAAAGTGTCAGCAGAAGTGGAGGACAACATGAAATGCCCAATGCGAGTAGATAACGAGGTCTACCGCAAAGTCACCATATGCCCAGGAGTACAGCCAGCCCACCGTGTGACACCTCGGACAGTGTCTGAGAGCCCCCACAAATCTCCTGAGCCTGTCTATAAGGAGCGTACCCCGAAACCCCCAGAAAGTGTCTACATGTCCTCAGCACCCTCCCCAAGTCACTCTGTTCATGCAAAAGTGGAACTGACCCCTCGCCCCTTACCCCCTCGGTCCTTACCTAAGTATGGGCCTGACTGCTCATGGTGGGCCTTACTCAATCCTGACATTGAAATGCCTCAAAGCCGGCCCACAACACCTGATTTCGAGCCTAAATCCCCACTTCCCGTAGACTATTCATTGTCCTTTTTTGAAATGGACTCAAGCTCTTTCTGTGACGATCTGTTCCAGCGAGAGAAGGCAAGTCCATCACCACCACCAGCACCAGCAACACCACCACCACCATCACAATCACCAACGGAGCCTCCAGGCTGGGCACGATTGAGGGAAGTGCCAGAGGCTCCCAAGCACACCTCCAAACAACCCATTCAAAGGTTTAGTGCTTTCTTTTTGGGTATGTGAAGAAGCAGACTGCCCAGGCGCAACCGCGATTTAGTGAGGTGGGACATGGGCAGGGAAGGCCCCCTCTTCATCCTGGGCCTTCGAGCTGCTCTCCTGCCAATGCCAAAGCTAGACCCATCCTTGAGCCCATTGCTCCATTCCTTCCCCGCCAGCTTCTCTGAGCTCCAAGCTAATGACATCGATGATGATGCTTGGGTCGGTGTCAGGCATTGATTCTTCCAGGCAACACACTTAACCTTTCCGTGGAAGGTAGTAGAGAGTGGTTTGCAGGGTGGGGAAGCTGTTTCCTGAGAGTAGACATGAAGTACTGAGCTGGGGTGAGGGCTGGTAAGAGCTAGTAAAGGGAATAAGGTCCTTTTGGTAAATATTCTGGAAACAAGGTGGAGGAGGTGAAGCACAGATGAACTGGGACTTAAGACTTCTTTTTTTTTTTTTTAATTTATTGATTTTTTACAGAGAGGAAGGGAGAGAGATAGAGAGCTAGAAACGTTGATGAGAGAAAATCATCGATCAGCTGCCTCTTGCACACCCCCCACTGGGGATGCGCCCGCAACCAAGGTACATGCCCTTGACCAGAATCGAACCTGGGACCTTTCAGTCTGCAGGCCGATGCTCTACCACTGAGCCAAACCGGTTTCGGCAGGGACTTAAGACTTCTAAGAGGGGGAAGGCATTAGCAGTGGCACAGAGGCTGGGAGAAAAGGGAGAGGAGGAGTAGGAATATGAAATTTAGCTCTAGACTGGAGAAGCTTCTTGGAGAGGATGAAAGGCTGAGGACACCTTTGGGTGGAGAAATATGGATCTAGAAAGGGAAATGTTAAGTAGTGAGGGGCAGGGAGTGTGCATTCCAGAGAGAGAGAGAGAGAGAGAGAGAGAGAGAGAGAGAGAGAGAGAGAGAGAGAGAGAGAGAGAGAGAAAGGGAACATACCAATCTCTGTTACTTTCAGATGTCTCTGAGGAAATGTACAATCGTGTCATCTGGTGGCTAAAAGGTCTGTGCTTTTCCCTCCCATGGTTCATTGTGGGGGTTTGGGAGGCAGGAGGACAGGTGGGAGGGTAGCCTTGATGTATGGACAGAGCTAGGTCTGTTAGGATATGGTGCATGCTAGGATTTTGACTTGAAGGAACAGAGGAACTTCTTATCTTGCTACCATTAGTTATTCCTTTGGGACTTGGAACCTTTTTCATGTTCAAGAGTCTTCTTATAATGGGAAGTAGTCACTGGAGAATAGTAGGCCTGGAGAACCATATAAGCCTATGGCCTTTCAGCTTAGCTGATGTTACCTATCGTGTGATAAAGAAACAAACTCCACCAAAAACAACTTACCTGCTTCCCAGTCTAACTCAGGGCTGACCCCACACTCATTCAGACTGAGGGGTTTCCTTATGTGTTACTCCGGTTCCTCAGAACCCTACTCACACCCCTATTCCAGGGCCTGGGAGGTCCTTATGTGGCTGCTGCCCAGAAAGATCTCCAGGGATGTCTGAGCTTGAGCCTCGAGGGATCAGTGGGCCCTGCAGCCAACTTTAAAGTCCTTAAGAGAAGTGTCTTCAGGGCTTGTGACCCTCCTGACACTCCTTGTATCTTGACTTCTGTGGTAGGAGGGAACATAAGGACCAGCCCTTAAACGTGAATCTTAGTGGCAAGGAGTTCCCGCTACAAGGATTGTGGTCCAACTATGCTCTAGCCCCATGAGCATGAGGGAGGCCAGGGCTCTGAATTAGGAAGTTCCTAGGGAAGAGAGGGCCCCGGGAATGCAATGCGATACCAACCAGCATGAGCCCTCAGCAGAGAAGGGCAGCCCTGCCTCACAGCAAAGCTCAATGAAGTAGAGGTTTAGTAGAGTATGGATTCTGAAGTCATATTATTGGGTTTGAGATCCACTATTTTCTTTTTTTAATCTTGATTGTTGAAAGTATTACATATGTTTCCCTTTCCCCTCATTAACCTCCCCCCCTTCCTACCCCCCCTCCCCCAACAAATATTTTCTAACTATGACATTGGGTAAGTATTTAACCTCTCGAATCATTCCTTTCCCATCTGTTAATGGGAACAATGGCTTCCTTTTAGAGTTCTTATAAAGACTGACCAAGCTATGACATGTAAAACACTTAGCATGGTAAGGTGCATGGGAATGGTGAGCACTCAGCAAATGCTAGCTGTTGACATTTGGGCCACTTGCACTAGGAGGGGAATTGGGCCATGTTATGGCCGAGTCCACAGCACATCTTAAGTAAAATTCTCTTTTTCCCTTCCTGTCGGCACTCTCGGATTTCCATTTGCTGCCCACTGGGAATGCCTGGCCTCTACATCTCCATTATGACAGATGAGGAGGTAAGAATGCCCCTAGGAAGTTACTTTTGGTCTTCCTGTACTCTCCCTACCCAAGTCCCTGTCTTATCCTCTAATGAAAGCTGTTCTCTATTGTTGGGCAGGTGTTTGCTGCGTAAGGGCACCTGGCAGAGCAGGCAAGTGGGGGCTGAAATCTAGCCTGTGTTCCACTTGTTCATTCAGGGCTGCATCTCCCCAGAGGGGAATTTGTAGCCCTGGAGAGAAAGGGTAGAGACCTTCTGGCAAGTGATGAATCCTTCCAAGCGTCCTATGGGAAGGCTGTCTGGGAAGCCATAGGTTGGATTGGTCCCTACTTGGCTCTCCCCTCTCCAGCCTAGGGCATTCCAGAAAGGGGACACTTTTCTGGGTTACCCACTATTTGAGTCCTCACCTTGGAGAGCCACAAGGTGAACTCTGCTCTCAGCAGCACTGTGTCCTGAATTTGGCAGTGTCCTGATTTCATAGTGTGTTGTTCCCCTAAATCACATGTGTCAAACACAAGGCCCGCGGGCCAAATCCATCCCGCCAGGCCTTGCAATGTGGCCCGCACCGTGCTGTCATTACTGCACTCCGCTGCGTTTCCATCACAATGACAGTTCATGACTGTTCAGTAAACCATTCGGCCCGCGATTTAGGCTGGATTTTAGATTTTGGCCCCTTCTCTGATTGAGTTCGACACCCCTACCCTAAATACTTGAGTTCTTCTTGGCCCATGTTTGATAAGAGAGTCCAAGCTCTTCCTACCCCCATTCTCTCTCATCTCTCTTTCTTCCCCAAAGCCTACCATGGCCTCTAATGGGTCTCATACATGGGCTAGCCCAGGATGGAAAGTTGACTACTCCAGTGGGGGAGGGGCAGGACAGCCTGAGATCAGATAGCGGAACAGCTGCAGCGGAGGTGTCAGAAATGCGGCTGCCACCCCCTCTGCCATGACTTCTTGTCCAGCCCTACTCCCTGAGCTCAGCTGTGGGTGGGAGCAGCTACTTTTAGAGAATATTTCAATGCAAGACAGTAAATCCTTCTCTTCCACCCTTTCTCCGTCCCTTCCACAAACAACTTTCATTCAGATGCCTAGCACTCTTCTAGGCACTGTTGGGAAAAGCATTAAACATAGCGCATACATTCTTCGGCCTTGAAAAACTTACCATCTGGATGGGAAGATAAGACGTGGACAGGAAACAACAATATGAAATTGTCTGCACTCAAATGTCCAAGCAAATGCAGCAGACTTAATAGAGGCTCCTGGATGGTTTTAGGAGAGAGGGAGTGAGCCCGGAATTTGATGGGATCAGGTTTCCCCACTCCTTCCCAAAGTCAGGGGGTGTATCTTGGCAGCTAGCCCTTTTGCTCACCCCTTGATGCAGATCTATACCTTTGGGAAGGGGTATTTCCTCTATTTCAGGATATGATGTTTTTGATTGAGCAAGTTCCTCCCTATTCTGCCCCATCTTGTTTTAGTTTAGGAAGTCAAATGCCTTGGCAGCAGGACAGCTCCTTCCCAAAATAGCTCTTATCCTGTCTGGATAATTGCAGCTCTCCAGCCCTGTGCAGTAGCAGAGCTGCTCCTCAGAAGCTGGGAAGAGAAGACGCACAGGCAGCTAAGCCTGCCAGTCTTCCTGGCTCTCTGGGAGTGGAGTGGCATGGAGGTGGGTACTGTGCTCACAAAGTGAGAGAGCTAGGTCTTCCCCAGCCTGCCCCGAAGCTGCAGGGCCACAGGCAGTCCTGTTGGATGGAGTGGTGCTGATGTCCAAGGCCTCTGTTTACTCTGACCTGGGAATGGTTGACTGTAGAGTGTGGTCCAGATTCCATTCCCGGCCAGGAATTCTCTTGTGGCCCAGCCGCAGTGCCTGGCCTGGCTCGTGGACTGCAGCATGTCTATTGTTGAGCTTTACAGGGTCCGCAGATGGGGATGGAGCACAACTCAGCCTATCTCTCTGAGACAGTTCCCTCCCAAACTCCTCAAGACCCTCTTGTGTAAGGGATGGTGTGGACAGATGTTTCTCATCCTTGGATTGGGACATTAGGAGCTGGAATCTTCCCAGAGGTGATTATGCTGGACTGAGGGACATATTCCTGATATTTTTTGGTTTTGTTTTTTAAATGCACTTTTATCGATTTCAGAGAGGAAGGAAGAGGAAGAGAGAGAGAGATAGAAACATCAGTTATGAGAGAATCATTGATTGACTGCCTCCTGCACGCTACCTACTGGGATCAAGCCCAAAACTGGGGCATGTGCCTTTGACTGGAATAGAACCTGAGACCCTTCAATCCGCAGGCTGAGGCTCTATCCACTACGTCAAACCAGCTAGGGCCTGATAATTTGTTTGTTTGTTTGTTGTTTTTTAATAGCAGAACTAGCCAAAGCTCAACAGGAAGGTCCTTCGAGTGCCCTATGGGGTCAGCGGGAGCTGTCTTCTCACACAGCCCTGGGGAATTCTATGGAATAAAATAGCTCTTGATGGGATGGGGCTGCCCTGGCCCTGAGAGCCTGTGTCCTCAAGCCACCTAACCTATTTGCCATTGCATGTGACTTCCCAGGCTGTGAGTGGACAAGGTGTTTTACTCCCTGCTATATCCATCAATTATGCAAGAAACCAACTCTGGAAAACAGGTCAGAAACTAGAGGAGGCAGTCTCAGTGATAACTAAGGCAGACTTCAGTGTCTTCAGAGTGACATGTCATTTAGCCCCTGGGAGATGGGACAGCCAGGTTCCTGTTGGCTCCTGAGCCACGGGGATGATTTGCTCATGTAGATTTCCTAGACAAAATTCCAGATCCCAGGAGGAACACAGAGAGGCTCTGCATTCATTGGGGATGTTAACAGAATCCTAGGATATGAGCTAGCAGAAAGGAACCCTGAGCCCTAGCTGGTTTGGCTATATGGATAGAGTGTCAGCTTGTGGACTGAAGGGTTCTGGGTTTGATTCCAGTCAAGGTCACATGCCTACCTGCATCAGCCGATTGATGATTCTCTCTCATCTTTGATGTTCCTCTTTCTCTCCCTCTTTCTTCCTTTCTGAAATAAAGAATATTTATAATTTTTTTTTTTTTTAAAGAAAGAAACCC